TATACTAACTTCTTACTAGTTTTTTACCAGTTTTATATCAGTTTTAAGGTACTACTAATTACTATTATAGTAGGACCCTGCTTACTTATAATAAAGGTCACCATAGAAAATTGACCCTTTACTAATAGTTTTTACCTTACTTTTTTCTTAAATTCTATTGGTTAATTAGCTAAAAAGGAAAATATTATAACAATATAACATGAAATTTCCTTTTATAGTAAGATCTGCAAAGAATTTTATATATAATTTTTACCTTAGGTCTAGAGGTGACCTATCTTATAAGTAAGCGGGTCCTTATTATAATACTAACTTAAATTTTTCAAATAATATATTCTAAAAATCAGCTAAAATTGTAGCATAATATTAGTTAAAATTAAATATAAATTTATTATGCCACCTAATACCTTTTTTTACACCATCTTAACACCTTAAAAGTCTGCCAAACAGGTATAAGAAAAAAGCATTTTTAGCACTTTAACAGATAATTAAAAAGTCCTAAAAACAGATAAATAAGTAGATAACTTTTTATTAATAAAAAGATTAAAAAGATTATAAAAGCATATAAATAAATAAATACTTTTTTAATGTTAAAAAACTAAAGATAAAGAAAAAAATATAGCTAACAGGCTATATAGATATCATTAGATTAAAGAATTATAATCACTATTAAATTATGAAATTACTATTAGAATAAAAAATTTTGTAAAATAATATAGTAGAAACTAAATAAAACAATAAGTAGATGGTCATAAAAGAAATCTGCTATTAAGTTAAAGAACAATCAATAAATTATAAAATCACCAATAAGTTATATAATTAGATTATGAAATTATCATTAAATTATATAATTAAGTTATAAAATTATTATTAAATTATAAAACTACTATTAAATTATGAAGTTACTATAAGATTATGAAATTACCATTAGATTATAAAGTTACCATTAGATTATAAAATTACCTTCACAATCTGACCTAAGTTGCTAGTAATTTTTTGATATAATTATATTAGAAAGTTACTAACAACTAAAGTAAATAAACATTATAATTAATAATTAGTATCTTAAATAAGATCTTATTTACTATTGAGATAGGTTACCCTATGGTTTAAGGTAAAGTTTACATATAAAATTTTTTGAAAATCCTACTATAAAAAGAAATTTTATATTATATTGTTATGATTTTTTTTTTATTAGTTAATTAACCAATAAAATTTAAGCAAATCCTAAAGTAAAGTTTTATATAAAAGTAAAATTTCTACCAGTAACATATCTTAATAATAGGCAAAATCCTACTTTAAATATAAAATATGTACAGTATATATCTTTAATTTATTAATTGTAGAATTATATATAGATATTTTTTATGTTTGATTTCATATTACAGTATTGAATATTGATATAATAATAAATGAATTAATAAGAATATTATTTAGTACTAGTTTATCAAATTATTTTTTCTTTCAATATTTTAAAATTACTTGTTAATTAACTTAATTTTATTGAAAAAGCAAAAGAAAAACCATTTAATAATCAAAAAAATATTAATAATAATGTTAAAGATCTAATATAAATTAAATATAAAAAATAATAATCTAATAGTATAGATGACTTTAAAATTAATTTTTATAGTAAAGCTATATTTTGCTAAAATTTAAATCTGAAATTACTATTTTATAACAAACAATTTAATTTATTAATAACCAAAATTATATCTAAAATTATTTGAATTTATTGATTTAAAATATATATAAAAAATATTTTAAATCTAAAATTTCTGGGCCATTTATACTTAATAGGTACAGTCAAACTTCTATGTACTGATGAAGTTGTTTTAAGAAAAAAGATCAGTACATTGAATTATCAGTACACAATTACTGTATATCATATTGTAAATCATGTCTATTATCAAATTAGTAGATAGTCAAACCTTGATACTAATGCTTCTAATTGAAAACAATATCAATACATTAAAATATATTACAAATAACATAATGCAGATAAATAGCATTTGATTAATAGGCTAAAATAATTAAATTTTGGCAAAATAAATTACAAAAAAGTTCAAATTAAATTTTTTATTCAGGCCAACTTTATAGTATTAACCCAAATTAATACTAATATGGCTAAAATATTAGTACATCTTTAATATACTGTATATTATTATAAAGGGATTAAGAAAAAGTATCAGTATACATTACATTGTGAAATTATATACAATATCAATATAATGCAGTTTTTTTTATTATATGTGAAATGGAACAATGAAAATTTATCAGTACAGGAAATTATCAGTACATTGGAAATCGGTACATGGAGGTTTGACTATATAAATTAAAAGTCAAATTTTTACAAAAAAAAAAAATTATTAAAGATATTACAAATGTAAATGATCAATATATTAGACTAGTTATTCAAGATTTTAGTAATCAAAAATGTGTAAATATTGTTAAAAATGTAAAAAAACTGGTTATTATACTTTATAATATCCAAATATAGTTTAATAAGATAGAAATAAAATTGTTTTTGAAATAAAAGACTTTTTGTTATATAATATAACCAAAAAAAATTGGCAAATTCATATGAAATAATAAATTTATAAATTATTTTTATAGTATAGTTTAACTTAAATTATTTAATAAAAATTTATAAATTAATTTTATAAGATGATTTAACTTAGATGATTTAACTTAGATTATTTATTAGTAAAACTTATTTATTTAAATATACATAAAAAAATTTACTTATATATATATATATTAGAAGTATTTGTGAAAAAAATCAATTGTAATGCTAAATTAATAATATCTATATTGTAATTAATCTAACTGTAATAATTATTTAGCTACTAATTACTAGAATTTATTTATAACAATTGTTTATTAGAATTAACCAACTAACCAATTTAAATTATTATATAATTTCTATAATATTTTTTAATTAACTACATTTATTATTAAAATAAAATTAGGCAGAGTAATTTAAAAAATATGATTAATCATATTAATTATTATTAGTATTTATTAAAAAAATTATAATCTAAGATTAGAAAATAATGTGAAAAAGTTATTATGAATTTATGTTACTAAAGTAAATTACTTTTTATTTGTTTATTAAAACAAGAATTATAGCATATATTTATTTGCTATCAAAAAATAGGGGTATATTGAAATATTTTCCATATATTTAATATTTTTATTAATCTCGTTAAGCTTAGTATTATTTAACAAACATTTGTCGTATATTCATAAAAAAACGAGTAATATATAAATTTATAAAAAAGAAAAGAATAACTTACAATTTCATATAATAAATAAAAAGGAAAAAAAGAAATAAAAAAAAAAGAACTTTATACAAAAAAAGAAAAAAAACTAGTACGTATAATATATTTGCAAAATATATTATCAAGAAGAAATTCAATAGAGTAAAAATCAAAAAAAAATAAAATAAAATAATAGCTAGAAAATGTTATTTAAAATTTTTTGTGAAACTGTAATTAACAGTTTTTTTTAATATAAAAGAAATCTTAAAAAGTTACAAAGAGAATAATATCTGTAAATATATAAGCAAGTTTTGTATATTTAAGAAAATACGAGAAGAAAAAATTTTTTCAACTGAATTTCAGTGAAATCAAAGGCACATAGCAAAAAGAAAGAAATTTGATGGCAAATTAGAAAATGATTAGGAAGGGGATTGATGAGATTTGTAATAAAATTCGAGTATAGTACTAAAATTAAACATTTCTACCTCGGCAATTTTTTGTTCCGGAAAATTCAAGTCTATAGATAAACAGTAAAATTCACAAATAAAATATTCAGGGTTCATATAATAAAAGAATGAAAATTCGAGGCCATCAATAAAAAGACAAAAAGACTAATGAATAAAAAATTTTTTTCTACAATCAATTATTGTGCTTTTTTTGCAAATTTGCTGTATACCTATTAAAATCACAGTTCCACCCAGTGTATATTGTGTACTAATTATCTAAAATGCTACATTATCAAACAAAAAAAGAAAAAAAAAGAGAAATATATATATATGTGTATTTATATTCACCGCTTCTGGCAGGAAAAAATGTTCTTGCCTTGTAGCAGATCGATTAAATCGTTCGCTAAAGGTTTTCAATACAGTTATAAAGTAATTAGAATCCCGTCTTGTAGCTTTCGTTTCTTTAAGTGTCCCTCCCTTCGACCTGACTGACTTCGTTCGTGAAAAAGTACAAATCTCGCATTAAATCAGACCCACACAAATATCAACTATTAAACATATTACAAAAAGAACAAACATTCTATAACATAACTTAAAAGGGAAGGTATTAAAAAAAAAAAGTTTATATTTTTTATAAAAAAACAAATTCGCATAGTATATAGTATATATATACTAAAAAGAATAAAAGATAAGAGGAAAATTAAATTGTTCATAGCATAAAAAACGTACATTTTTGTTAATTGAGCGCAGTGTCTATTATTAATACCATTGCCCATTTCCGCCGGATGATTCATCTTTTCTAACTCGGAAATTCATATAATTTGGACTTGCTGGGTTATTCTTAGTTTGACTACGAAGTCTGCAATAATTAAGTTATATCAATTATAAATTAATTAATTTTTACATTAAGAGAAATAGATAATACAATAAATATAACGTACAATCTGTCCGAAGGCACAGGTTGAGGAGCAGCATCTTTATTGTTGCGCCTTGGGACTTGTGTTATACGTGAAGGACCACTTTGAATTTGCTGAGATGATGCAGCAGCTCGTGAACCGCTGATACCGGGATTATACAGAGGTGGTTTGTTTGTAGTTCTGCGTGTTGTTGAAGCTGTTGGTTCATTTACTAGTCCAGTGGTTTGTCGAGAAGTAACACGTTTTTGAACCTTATTATCGTCTTCACCTTGTTCGACGGCTCCATTTGCATCGTCCGGCATTGCTAATGGCATATGCACTTTACTTGCATCTTTTTCCTAAACAAAATATAAAGTTTAGTAAAATATTTTAAATATTTACATTTTTTTTACTAGATAATTAGATATTAGAAGATTTACATATTTAAAAATTGTCCAATCAAAAACGTAATCATATTGAAATCCTTCACGAACAAACAAATCTCTAAATAATTTTCTTAGATAACTATAATCAGGTTTATCGTCAAATCGAAGAGATCGTGTGTAGTTCAAATAAATAGCAAATTCATTGGGAAATGTGCGACAGAGAAGTTCTGTAGGCGTGGTCATTTTCTTTTCCATTATACGATCATATTTTTGCTTCTTTGTTGCAGCTTTAAGACCTTGCCATGGAAGAGATCCGCGACAAAAATACATCATTACATATCCCAGTGATTCAAGATCATCACGACGGGATTGTTCTTAAAAAGAATATCAAAAATAAATCAAATTAGCAAAAAATTAAATATTTACACATAAAATTTTTATTGTATTATACATACCGACTCCCAAATGAGTATTGATGCTAGCATATCGAGCTGTACCTGTCAAATTCTTATTTTCTCTATAAGGGATATGTAAATGTGTTTTTGGATCGCGATATTTTTTGGCTAAACCAAAATCAATTACATTAACTTGATTACCACGTTTACCAATACCCATTAAAAAGTTATCGGGTTTGATATCTCGATGAATAAAATTTTTAGAATGAATATATTCGATTCGAGAGATCTAACAAAAGCAAAAGCAATTCGTAAATACGTTGAATAAAATAAAATAAATGTTAAAACCATACAAAATTTAAATCAAAAGCTATTTGTCTATTTTTTTTTTTTTGTTATATAATACATACCAATTGATCAGCTAATAACAGCACTGTCTTTAGCGAAAATTTACGATTACAAAAATTGAACAAATCCTCCAAGGATGGACCCAATAAATCGATTACCATTGCGTTATAATCACACTCAGTGCCATACCAGCGAACAAATGGAATTCCCACACCACCGGCAAGTGTTTTATATACTTTTGCCTCATATTCCAATTGTGGATGTTTAGCTTTTGTAGATTCTAGTTTAATGGCTACCTCTTCACCATTGATAATATTTGTGCCTATAACAAGATTTAATAATAATATACAACTTCATTAAAAAGAAACATAGCAGTAGGAATATATTTTTTCATATTTATTCTATTGTCAACAATGCTTCCTCTCATAAACTTACCGAGATAAATATCCCCAAAAGAACCTGAACCGATCTTCCTTCCTATCCGATATTTATTTCCTACTCTCAAGTCCATAGCCATTTTGTAAAGACTTTGTGTGTATTAAAATAGGTGTAGGAACTATTTATAAAAATTGGGTAAACCAAAAAGTGTTAAACGGTTAGCCAAGAAAAGAAACAAAGTGTCGATGCAGAAAAAATAAATTAGATGGTAGTTCTTTTATTTAATGAGAACTGTTTATATACTCATTGCGATAGGTGTGGCTATGTTGTTTTTTAAAAATACTCACTATTAACTATAACAGCAAAACTTTAAATATTAGCCAAGTAACGAGGTTTTATTATCTGGAGAGAAGGAACAAAAAACCTTATTTAAATTAATCCAAGATGAACCGCTAGCAAAGTTGCGCAGTATTAGCAAAACTATAAGATAAGTGTCAACTGACTTAAAATGAAAAAAAAATAAGCAAGAATTTGCACAGCTAGCAGTAGTTTCTCTTTTTGATGGTTAGGAGAAAACAACTAAGTGTCAAAGTGAAGACTTCAAAGGAAGGTGGAGTTGTTTTGAAGGGGTGTGGTAATAATTATTGTTACGGAAATTTTTTGGGGGGTCAGAAAATGCAGTACGATAGTGTAATTCTGGGAAACGAAATTTGGGATTTTCTCTTGAGCAGAAAATAGTATGATTGTTTTTGGGGGAGGGGGTACTACATTTTTAACAAGGTCTTTATTTGGTGATGATTAATTATTTTATTTTAATATAATAAACAAGAAAAAAATATTATGATGAATTCATGATGTATAAGTATTAGTATGACGCTTATTGAATTGATATAACTATTAGGAATAGGCCGAATTGTATATATTTAATATTCTATATTTTTATGAAGACATAAATTTAGTGGTAACACCTGGCTATTTTGGCTATATTGGCTATTTTATTATTATAAGAGTCGTATTCTCCGAAGTTAAATCTTAATAGTCTTTCTTTTCTTTTTATATTTAAAATATTAAGTAACCCCAAAAAATTTCCTTTAGCTATGATATATAAAAATTTTTTTTTCCATAGTAGGCAATTTCCTTTCGGCACATTCCCGCCACATTTTTAAAATTTCGGCGAACATAAGCGAAATTTAATCGTTACAAAAAAAAAATACAATAACTTAATACAAGAAGTACTACAAGACCAATCCAGTCTCATATATTTTTATCAGCCATGTCCGGATATTTTATGTTGTACCACAGCATTACTGCGTACCTTACTACGTATCCTATATGATATTGTTTCAGACTATTGTAGGAAAAAATAATTATACGCAGTAAATAAAATAAATCATAGCACGTTTTTACTTATGTTGTAAAACAAACATTCAAATGTTTGACAAAGTAACACGTACATTTGCTAATCGGCTGACGTAGCACTGTACATGCGTGGAGACTTTCCTATTGAGAATCTTGTATAATTTTGATCACAGAATGCAAGATGACTATTGATTCTAACCAAAGTAGTTTGACATGTGACAAAGGAAGATGTGTCGCTTTCTATATATGATAACAAAGAAAAATAAATTAATTTGTCACATTTACAACGAAAAAGATTGCGTAGGGATGAATTTTAGATATTCTAACCGAAGCCTTCAAAGCCTCCAAAACCTGTTCAGCTTTTAACAAGGCACTCTCACATATTAATTGAAGATGAAAGTACATTGATTTTTCATTTTGTGAATTAATAATTTCCGTTAATCCGGTAATGGTATTTTTCCATTTTAGTATGATTCCTTGAGTTCCTGTTGTTGAGACATCAAATTGTTGTATAACACGTAAACGCAAAGCTGTCAATAATCTGAATGAGATCTCGGATATGCGTAAACTATAGTCCCTGAATAAACAATATCCACACGTGAGAGTTTGCACGTTCGTATCTATATTATATAACATAATAATTTACCCATAAAAACCATGCCGAAGTAACAAATCAAGTTTTTCTTGTCTGGCAAGTTCTGTTTCTCCGGGAAGAGAAATTTCAAGATATTCTTTGTCAAGCGATACATAATTATATGGATTATTTGGGATAACAAATCCATATTCCATTAATATAAAAAAATTATCATGGGGTCCATAGTTAATAAAAACCTAAATATAAAAAAAACTATTATAAGAACATACAAAATATTAAAAAGACAAAAAAAATAAGTCATGAACAAACCTGATCTCCCCTTTTATAAGGGACAAAAGTAGTTATTTCGTAACACTGAGTCATATAATTAAATTCGCCTTTGATCTACATTGGTCGTGTGACAACTTAATATTCTCAAGAAATCCAAAATAATATCTTATTGCATTTATTTACCTTTGCTTCGTATGTATGGTTCAAGAAATCTAGCAATGGAGCAATGGCAATACGATCTTTTACATCATCTGAGTTCTTGGTTTCTAGGTAAATACATCGTGTATTAACTACAATAAAACACTAATAAAATTTTAATTAAAATTAATTTTGTTAAAAAAAAGTGAATTTAATGAAATTTTATATTCACCTGATAGTTAACAAGATTATATAATATATCAATTTGGTATTTTTGCTAACCAAACCAGATATTTTTTGTGTATATCCGATACAATCTAATTAATTCAATTTAAATAATACTTTTCTATGATTCTTAGCGCTGAGGTAACATACCACAAAGCCATCCCCATAAATAATCTTTACGTGTAATCTTTGAGTGAATACCTTGACTCTGTGAAGAAAACAAACATATTAGTTTACAAATTGGGTTATAAATACAAATACTTTAGCAAACTTAACTTTAAGGAAATTGTTGATAGCTGCAAAGTCATGTTCAAATTTCGCTCTTTGTGATTTTACGTCCACTAAGATATAGAAAACATGAATACATATTAACTTAATTAGTGCTTTTTAGATAATATTTAACAAATTGTACCTTTGACATTATGTGGCAGCAAGTTGAACAGTTCTTTATTATAATTTAATGGCATATTATCAAAGTCTTTTGGTAACATATTAATATACGGATAAATACTACTTTGTGATCCCTTTTTATATTCTAAAATTAAATACAGGGATATAAACTGGTGTGCAGAGAGTTTTACTGGGCTTCTACAAGTATAGGTAAAAAACATGAATATTTGTATAAAAAGAAAAAATTTAGATAAATTTCAAATAATTACCGAGAAAGTTGACCTTTCAATAAATTCGTTAAACTTCTATAAGTTATTAGAAATTTCTTCGGAACAGAAATTATGACTTCACCAGCCTAAATATTAGTAAATGACTTGTAATTAAATATAAAACACATCGCAGCGTATTATGTCATAATATATAAAAAATTGCTATTATTAATCCAAATTATGTTGCTGAACAAACTCAAAGGCTTAATTCAAGGCTTTCTAATTTAAATATTTTTATTCATTGATCATTGGAAAAACTCTTTTAGGTGCTAAACGCCAGATGTGTAATTTTAGTAAAAAGAACCTAATATACACTTTTGACCATTACTTTAATATCTCGCGTTGCCATCATTCCTCTTCCTGTATCTACCGAAATTATAAATTATTAATGAAAAAAAAAGAGAAATATTACTAAATAATTAAAATGTAAACCTTGGAATTCGGCTAATGTTAAATTCGTTTTAGGAAATCCCTCTCGCTTTAACCATTCTCGAAAATTAGTCCACTTTTCTTCCTTAATAACTACGAGTATAATTATTAGACCAGAACGGGTTGGTTTACTTTACAATTAAACTAACTTGTTACGGTTTTTTGTTGCTTGTGTTGAAATTGTCTATGTCGAAAAGTACGTCCTAAACGCGACTTTTTCTTACCAAACATAATGAGTAAATTTATAAAACTAAGAAATCTGCTAAAAAAATTTGATAATCTATTATTGTCGATCAATCGATGATCCTGTTAATTTCCTTAGATATGAATTCTTATAGTAATATTTAAAAATTATATAATTCTAAAATTTTAGAATATTCCAATAGAATTTTTCTACGGTGACTGAAATTATGACGATCGACCAGCATTAAAAAAATATAGTGCCGGTAAAATTGATAATTCTGGCCAATAATGACCAGTAATTTGAGTAAAAATCATTCTTTTTTTTTTTTTTTTACTGCAGCACATTTAAAACTTTATTAGAAAATAAATGCATAAGACATTATATATAAAAACAAATACATCTAATATCTAACATTAGTAAGTTCTAAACTACTCGTCATCTTAAAAAAAACTTCACATATGTACTGTCAGGTGGATTTTGAGCTATAAGAGTAATTTCTGCAATTACTTTTCTTAGAGGGAAACCTCTCCTTTCAGTCTAAACCCTTTGGAAAAATTCAGCAAGATCCACTGCAAAATAATAAAAAGAAAAAAAAGGATTTTAATAAAAAAAAAATAAGGTAAAATAAAGGTTAATAAAATAATTGAACTAGTAATCTTAAAAGCTAAAGTACCATCCAGTTGCGATAGTATAGATTATATTGAGTAGGGTTCTCAGTGTTGTATAAAACACTTTTGGTAATAGATTTAGATAGGTTTATTATTACAGCCTAAAATTTCACATTCTTTACATTACTTCAGAGTTTAGAATACCAAAAATTATTGTACAGATATTCTTTCAAATGAAGCTATCCAAACTCCATTGTTTCAATTCAACAAAGTCCACTTGTTAAGGTCAATTAACACAGTCAAAGTCAAATACTTCTTTTATGTTTTAAGTTTTATTGCAATAATTTTACCCATTTTCTTAAATTTATAAGAATATCAAGTTGTATCATTGTGAAGAAAATATCATAAATAACAATTTTACAAATATTAGCCCTTTCTTGTGGCATATCCGGTCATAACTGATAAAATATTCTTTATCAGTGCCAGTTTAGATTTCTTAGTTTTTTGCTGCTGCAGTTTAAATGACATATTATTCTTTTTAAAAATATTCTTTTGAGTGTTTCATTTAGTAGTCATAAATATAAGTAATATAAGTAAAGAATTATCAGAATCTAATCTAGTAATAATCTAGCATAAGTGATCCATTTCTTATCTTTTGGGTAAACAGCCCTATAAAAAAATTGGATATGTTTTTTATAAAGTTTTTATACGATTTTTTTCCTTAGAAATAACGTATCATAATAGGATACAGAAAAATGCACAATTCCGTATCATTAAAAATATGGTTTGAATACGGAATTTGCATAGGATTTATATGAAATTTACATGATTTGATCATTAGTTTTATCACGAAATTTATACGATTTGGTCACTGAATTTACTATTTGTATTACAGCTTACTATAATTGTATTTACATAAATCTAATTTTACTTTATTAAATTAAATAAAAAATAAAAAATAAACAAAGTACAAATACATTATGAAAATTCCCTTCTTATTAAAACCACTTATTGCAACCAAAATTATCTATAAGTTCAGGTTCATTTGAAGTCAAACAACTTAAAAGAACAAAAAAAAAAGATTGGAAACAAAACTCCCCTCATATAGTATCTGCAATCGTCCAAGTCACCAAAGGTCAGCATTCCTACAAAAAAAGAAAGAGAACTTCAGAATGTCTGATCTACATAAAAGAAAAGAATTATGAGGCGTCTAATGAAAAAGAAACCAAAACAATAAAATAAATCCAAAACTGACCTACAAAAAAAGAAGACTTTGAAGCAACAAAACTGAAACAACCAACAAAAAGAAAAGAATCTTACAAAAAAACAAGAAAATTCGAACTGACCTAAAAAAAGAAAAAAATCCTGAATCATCCTACAAAAAGAAAAGGACTTCCAAAATGATCTACAAAATAGAAAAAAGAAACTGAATATTCTCACAAAAAAAAATCTGCTGGCCTATGAAATTAAATATAAATAAAAAAAAAAGGGAAATAAAAAATAAATCAAAAAAATATTTTTTTAAAAAGAGAGGTAACAAAGTTAGGAAAGTTAAAAAAAAATTTTTTTTTAAAAGGAGGACGTCAAAGTTAGAAAAATAAAAAATTTTTTATAAAGAGAAAATAGAAATAGAAAGAAGAAATTTTTTTTTNATTTTTTTTAAGAGAGTAACAAAAAAATTTTTTTTTCAAAAAAGAGTGATGAAAAAAAAAATTTTTTAAAGTGAGGTACGAAAAAAAAAATTATTTTTAAAAAGGGGTGATGAAGAAAGAAGAAAAATTTAGAAAAAATAACAAAAATAAAACAAGAGAAAGAAAAAGAAAAGAAAAAACAGAAAGGAAAGATCAAAAGATCAAACTTATCAAAAGTAAGAATTTATATAAAAAACAAAAAACGTATCATAACAAAACAATAAACAATCATGTGATTTCATGTTATGATACAGGATTTTTGTAAATTATCTTCTAAAAATATTAAGTTTAAAAATTCCATATACATTCTGCATGATTAATTTTTTCTGTATATATTTCTTATACATTAGTTTTTTTAAAAAATGTTCAAAAATGAATTGCTTATTAAATATACGGAATTTGTATACAGAATTTATAGAAACGTACAAAAAATGTATACAAAACTTATCTTTTCTGTATACATATTTCTTATAGGGTAGCTAGACTTGTACATCAAAGAGTTTTATTTGTATTATATATAAGTAGTATATACAACTAGTAATTGGTATATATATTGACTCTTCACAAATTTTCATTTATGTCAGTTGAGTTTTTTGTATAACAAAATTGTCATTAGTTAGTTTTATTGTCATATTTTATTCATATAATAATTCTCTCACAAACAAATCATTTAATATATAAAGTTTTGATATTTGTTAAACTTTTTGCAATTTCACATTTTTTTACTTTTTTGGCAAAATAGTTTAATAGTTTTGATTTTAATAATTGTCTAAATTGCTAAGTTTCATTTGTAATCTTAAATTTATCAATACTAGAAACATGATCTTACTACTATTTGATGCATCTTATTGAGAAGAATCTAATAATATATAATATAGCTTAATTTTATATGATCATTTGATAGTCAACTATTCAATTTTTCACATTTTTATAAAAATTGAATTAATCTGAATTTAACTACTATTTTTTCAATTTTAAGATTTGAACTAAACTGAACTGAATTTTAAATCAATTTTAAATCAGTTTCCAGTTTTAATCCAAACTATTTAAAGCTTTATACTAATTAAAATCATCATAATCAAAAGAAATTTTAAAAAAAAAATAAAAGTAAAAAAAAAGGTAAAAAAAACCTATTATTTATTATACTATCTGGAAAAATCTAATTTAAAATATCAAACTAAAAAATATTTAAATAAAAAAAAATTAAAAAATATTAAAAAGAAAAAGTTAATATTAAAAATTAAGCAAAAAATAATCTAATACCTATAAAAATATAGTATATACTATATAATTGATAATTACTACTTTATATTATAATAGTAAGGATTGCAACCTATTACTTATGATTTTTCAAAATTTTTTTTTTTTGAAAAATAAAAATTACAAAAATAAATTTTATAATTATAAAAAGAAATGATTGATATACTATAATATTTTTTTATTTTATTTTTTTTTTTTATTCATTTATTATAGATGTGATTTTGTTTTAATATAACTACGCTTACTTACATACATAAACTTAAAATAAGATAACAAATATATATAAGGACTAAGCATTATAAAACAAAAACTACTTTTCTGAAAAAAAAGTTGACCTATCACCTAAACGATCATATTACCATTAAAAATGATGATACAACCCAAATTCTCAGGTGACTATCAAGATTTGCCTAAAAATTTGTCCAGTACAACTTTAATTATTGATATACTATAATATATATTTGTATAATTAGTAATAATTACAATACTATATAATAATTACATTTTTTTTTGATAACCACAATACATTTACAAATTTATTAGTATAAAATTAGTAATTATATAAAGATAAAAAAAACTATAAACTATACTAATATTATTAATTTGTAAACTATTTGTCATTTCTCTATGGAACTGCACATGAAGAAGATGGAGTTGTGGTGTATATTTGATGTTTTTTACTCAGGTTTTTTTCATTGCACTTTGAGTTTTCCTGAGGTTTATGTCTTTTTTGTTTTTCTTAGTTGCCTTTTTTTGGTGTAATTTTATTTTCTTTGAGAGATGGAAAGATACTGGAAAACTTGATCATCATAGTGGCTTGATTATACATGAAGTCGAAATTAAAGCCCAAAAGTAGAAATATTTTGACTTGAGAAGGTCAAAAGTCGAAATTAAAGTCGAAATAGTCGAAATTACATCATAGTCATGTGATTTTTATAATTATAATTTAATATAAAATTTTAAACGTAAATAACTCTGTCAATATTAATGCTACAGATATGAAATACATATCATTGGAATCCTCTCGATGAGCTGAATTCAACCGCATAAAGATCATAAAAATCGAATCACTGGATGCGGAGTTCGTTAACTTGAATTTTAAAATTATTGTTTACTATAAAAATTATATGACTATTTAATACCAAATTTTAAACGTGAATAACTCCGTCAATATTANAGTTCGTTAACTTGAATTTTAAAATTATTGTTTACTATAAAAATTATATGACTATTTAATACCAAATTTTAAACGTGAATAACTCCGTCAATATTAATGTTACAAATATGAAATACATATCATTGGAATCCTTTCGATGAGCTGAATCCAACCGCGTAAAGATCATAAAATCGAATCACCGGATGCGGAGTTCGTTAACTTTGAATTTTAATATTATTGTTTACTATAAAATCATATGACTATGATGTAATTTTGACCATTTCAACTTTTGGAGGGGCTCAAGTCGAAATCATTTTGACCATTTCGACCATTTCAGAGGTTAAAATTAACCAATTTCAGTTTCATGTATAGGCTTGATGTTACATTTTCAAATCGATGATCACTCGGATAATAAGGGAATGACAGGTTGGATATTGCAGTTTTTGTAGTATGCTAATCAAGGTAGTCATATGTTGAACTATCATTGGATTGACTTATCCAGATAAATCTTAGGCTTCCATTAGGGATCGTTTGAAATGAGGTGGGTGTTTCTGTTGGGATTGCATAACACTACAAAGTTCCTCTCTGCACAACACTACAAAGTTTCTGAAACTCTTTTTGAAGTAGGTTTGTTATCCATAGTATTACAGTGCGGTACCTCTATAATAGGTACCCCTTATATCTTGTGATCTAATGGTCAGAATTTTATAAAATTTTAAAATTAGATAGCTTTTAAAAAGATAAATACATTAAGCAAATAAAAAAATTTTCTCAATTTTTTTTGCTGACATAATACAAAATCACATGACTTAAAATCTGTCTCTTATACACATCTAGATGTGTATAAGAGACAGTTATTATAATTTAATGGCATATTATCAAAGTCTTTTGGTAACATATTAATATACGGATAAATACTACTTTGTGATCCCTTTTTATATTCTAAAATTAAATACAGGGATATAAACTGGTGTGCAGAGAGTTTTACTGGGCTTCTACAAGTATAGGTAAAAAACATGAATATTTGTATAAAAAGAAAAAATTTAGATAAATTTCAAATAATTACCGAGAAAGTTGACCTTTCAATAAATTCGTTAAACTTCTATAAGTTATTAGAAATTTCTTCGGAACAGAAATTATGACTTCACCAGCCTAAATATTAGTAAATGACTTGTAATTAAATATAAAACACATCGCAGCGTATTATGTCATAATATATAAAAAATTGCTATTATTAATCCAAATTATGTTGCTGAACAAACTCAAAGGCTTAATTCAAGGCTTTCTAATTTAAATATTTTTATTCATTGATCATTGGAAAAACTCTTTTAGGTGCTAAACGCCAGATGTGTAATTTTAGTAAAAAGAACCTAATATACACTTTTGACCATTACTTTAATATCTCGCGTTGCCATCATTCCTCTTCCTGTATCTACCGAAATTATAAATTATTAATGAAAAAAAAAGAGAAATATTACTAAATAATTAAAATGTAAACCTTGGAATTCGGCTAATGTTAAATTCGTTTTAGGAAATCCCTCTCGCTTTAACCATTCTCGAAAATTAGTCCACTTTTCTTCCTTAATAACTACGAGTATAATTATTAGACCAGAACGGGTTGGTTTACTTTACAATTAAACTAACTTGTTACGGTTTTTTGTTGCTTGTGTTGAAATTGTCTATGTCGAAAAGTACGTCCTAAACGCGACTTTTTCTTACCAAACATAATGAGTAAATTTATAAAACTAAGAAATCTGCTAAAAAAATTTGATAATCTATTAT